CCCCCGCCCCCCCAAAAAAAGGAAAAACCTTCTGTACTCTATAAACAACCAAGTGCCACGTCTGAGATGAAACACCTAGCTAAACCCAATGATCTCAGAGTGGCAGTGATAAAGAAGTATAGATGAAAGGTGGAACTATGATTAACTAACTTCATGGAGCTGTGCTCTTCTTGAGAACCTGCCAACTGTGCAGCTATTCAGGAACTATTTTCACAGTGTGCATCCTGTTGTGTGCCATAAGCAAATGGCGATGTAAAGTGTCCGTCAACACAACAAACGTGACTATGCAATCAACAAATACTCAGACTAAATTTTTTATTTTCCTACCGCTACATGTTTCGGTCCTCATGGGACCATCATCAGGTAGAAGTATGATCGAAAGGCTAAAGTTATTTGAACTCCCAAATATGGTTCCATATTTAGTGCAACACGTTATATTACAAAATTAAGTTTAGAATACGAAATAAGGCGTTGGGAATGAAACTGAGAGTTATGCAATTAAAACCTAAAATATTAAAGTTATTATAAAAATTCTTAAGATTGAACGATATGATGTTAAAATTTCCTCACGTGTTCACAGTTTTTGTGTTGTGTGAATAATTGTGGAAAGCCACATCGTTGAGTGTCTCTTTCAGGACGGCAGTTGTTACGTCCGATGTTATGCGGTAGTAAATGTATTATGGATATTATTACATGGGCTGTTATAATTTGTTGATATTAATGCAATGTGTGTCATTTTGTAAAGACGTAAATACATATATTGCTATCGTTGTTACGCGTGTGCGTCCTTTGTGTAGGGCCGCTGTATGTTGTAGCTTGGTTCAACGTGGTGATTAATTGTACTATAACCCCGTTTGTTGTGTTGACGGAAACCTTTCCCTGCCATTTTATTCAGGAACTTCCCAGAATTTTATGAAACCCAAAGGTTCATTAACGTGTTCACAAGAAACCTCCACTGGTTCATATCCTAAACCAGATCAGTACAGTTCAAACGATCCATACCACTGCTAGGCAATCGGTGAGTAATCGCATTCCCGCGAAGCGAACGCGCTCAAGAATAGGATGTCTACTGCTAGGTAACGATCAGTAAACATGCAGACTTAACAAAAGAAGACGGCGTTTTCTACGAGTCCATTCATAGTGATTATCAGAAGTGTTGGGCAGGACAGGAGGAATAGAAGCAGAGTTGCAGGGAGTACGGTACAGTAGTCGGAAGAGAACTGGGTCGAGTTCTGGAGATGGCAGTCGAAGGTGACTGAGAAGAAATGGCCAGAAAGGAATTAGTCTCTGACAAGAATATTTTTTTCACACTTAAGATGAGAGTCAAAGAGGCGAAAGAGGAAACCAAGGAAGAAAGATGGTTGTGTAAAGAGTCGAGGCGTATTCTTGCGACGTCACTTTATTACTCAACGACGTAACTACAATTCAACGTAACTATAACACAAATGGCTTCACAGTCGGTCCTTTCGTGTTGATAGCTCTCACTAAAATATAGAACTGTCAAACTCCAAGTCCAAGTCACATTGTGACGGCCGGTCCGTCAGGCTTTACCTAGCACCGGCTGTTTACTCAGCCGTTGCTAGGCAGCTAATGGTTTCCATCTTGCGACTGGCTAGCACACGATCCACTGTGGGTGCTTTCCATAGTCACATATTGTTGTAGACCTTACACAGCAACGACTGTTTAAGAGTACTCGCCGTTGCAGAGCAATGGTACCTGAGCTGTCACTGTAGCGTTTGCTTGAATGTGGGCAGTTCCCACATTTCATTCAACAATACGTTCCCAGGCAACGAACCTTCAGTCAACAAGACGTTCCCGAGTAACGAACCTTCAATGAAGGTTATCCAGTTTCCGGAGTAACTTCATTACTGCCCGGAAAATAACACGCAGCCACTAGTAGAGCAAACGCTATGCAGTCATGGATAATAAATCAAGGAATTAAAGGAGAAAGAAATCTCAAGTCCTAACAAGGGCAGTATGTTTGACACTTAGAACAAAGGCATTGCCCCCTCGCGTATTTTTTCGCAATACGAAAATTGAAGTTTCTACGTTCGTAGCAGCAGTACGACAATGTTACAAATGTTGAAAATTTGGCAATAAGTAAAATTTTATGAAGAAAATTATTTCTCACGCGGAATAGGAGAATATGAAGGGTCTTGTATTAAAAATGTATAAATTATAACTATATCCACAGAGCAAACAGCGAGCGATGCCCCGTAATTAAATACAGAAAAAAGTCAACCAAATCATGGCTCATAGGAATGTCGGAATTTTAGAAGCACGAAAAAGTTGTAGAAAAATGGTCACAACCCTGACGGTTGAACCCTGGGTTCTCTTTAAGGGATCAAAATCCCCGATGGCGCGCTGAAACTAATATGTGTTAGGGACTTCAACCTTCCCAAAACGACAAGAAGACGAAGGACGTAGGGTAGTATTGAGACAAATGAAAGCAACAAAGACCCGAGCCAACCCATTCGATGGAACCGGGGGAGAGAGCAATGGAAGTTAACAGCAGGACTCAAATATCTGAACATAGTTCAAACAAGACTGAGAAAAAGAACAGCTCTAAAGACCAGAGAGCGTTAGAGGAATCTTTAGAGAAGTTGCAATCCATTTAGACGGAGGACGAAGTCAAGATCGTACTGGTGACAATAAACAAATGATAAAATAATTCCGTCCAGTGTGACTGTTGAAGCTTTTACTACTTCACTTCTTAGCACCCTAATATATTTCGGTCCCTATAGACCATCATCGGAGGGAACATCAATACTTTTAGAAACTACTACTACATTGGATGTTTTGATTTTTAAAATACATAAATATACAATATTTGCAATATACACTTTATACAAAATCCAAATTTCTTACAACTAGAGCAACTGTCCTTGATGCATTAAAGTTTTTAAATTTTTTTTTTTTTAACTTTAATGCATCAAAGACAGTTGCTGTAGTTGCTGTCGGCCCAAAGTGATACAAAATTTACAAAATCGATTATTACTGGTGACGAGACATGGTATTTTCAATATGAGCCTCTCACATAGCGGCAGAGTGCAGCGTGGTTGAGCCCAAAGTAGCCAGCCGAAACCAAAGAAAGTGCCCGTGCAAAAGAGTCGAGTAAAGACACTGCTAACCGTTTTCTTCTATTCCAAAGCAATCATTCACAAGGAATTTCTTCCAGCTCAAACAGTGAATTCTGATTATTAGCTCAGAGTCCTCAATCATTTGTGGGCGAAAATTCTTCGAATTCGATCTGAATATCGAGAGCAAGGAAGGTTCTTGGTCGCTCCTCCACGACAATGCCCCACCCCACAAATCAAAGATCGTGTGCGATTTTTTGGCCAGAAAAGGGATCGCAGGTCTTGATCACCCTCCGTATTCGCCAGATTTGGCTCCAGCAGATTTCTGGTTATTCCCAAAAGTTAAGTTGGCAATGAAAGGAGACCGTCACGACACCATCCAGGACATCTAAAGGCAATCTACCGTAGTTTTAAATGTGATTCCACAAAAGGAGTGCAGTGTCTGTTTTCGAAAACTTTTCATTCGACTCCAGCTATGTATTGATTCAGAAGGAGACTATTTTAAATAAAAAGAGTGAAATTTTGAAAATAATTCAAGTCTTGTATTTTTAATGAACACAGTCCTAACAGAACCTGGACACATTGTGTATTCAAAAAGACAGACCCGTCCTGTCATCAGAGAGGGCACCCCACAAAAAACAAGACCATAACTGTCAAAAAGTAATAAATATCTGGTCATGAGCCCCAGATGGGGCTCGACTCCAAGACTGACTGACTGACTGACTGACTGACTGACTGACTGACTGACTAACCGACTGTCGGTCACAATATGACTTTAACTCTGAGTTTTGATACTCATACTGAAACAACGGTTCAATAAATGTAGCACCTATATGAAATGACTAACCCCTCCTTCATCGAAGAGAAGGCCTCATTTTGAAATGCATGCATATCTAGGAGAGAATAAAATCTTGGTCATGGATCTCGAGGAGACCGAAGCAGGACACTGTGGAAACTCTGCATCATTTGTCACTACACTATACTAAGCAATATTTATACATGATATATGTCATACTGAGATTTTCTGTCAATAGAGGCTTATGCAGCAGTTTAGGCCTTAACTTAAGTAACTACTCTGAAACTGCCTGACCGCCGAAGGCAGTGATAGTGATAGTGACAGTCAGTGATCAGCTGGAAGAGCGAATTGGAACTAGGAGTGGAAAGTTCAAATTCAGGTTCAAGACAGAATTAGTTCACGGCAGTTATGAGTGACAGAACCAATTCAGAGCAGAATTCCTGAATAGTGGCAATACGACGTGAACAGAGATAAGACAAAACCAACAGAGCTGGACAGAAGACTCAGCTAAGAAACAGAAGATGAAAGATTAGTCAGGTTGCATCATACAGAAGACTTTATTCTGAGTAATTTTAATTGTAATTGTAATCAATTATCCAATAAATTGCTTCACTTAGTCTGGAACCCATTAACTTCTTGTCGCATTACCAGGACATGTGACAGTAGTAATAATACACAGATGCTTGCCTGAAGAATTTTATTGCCTAACAGGCATCAGTATACTTCATAAACAACAATGTAGCTCCTCTGTTGAAATGAAAGAGCTCTTTCCTTCACACAGCGCTAAAAATAAAATTTAAATTGTGATACAATGTTATGTTAAGTAAAGTAACACAGAGTAATTTCCTTTAAAATTTCAGCGAAAAATAAATCAAGGTTTCTCAAAGTACCAGATACTGCAAAAGAATTAGATGATGGTATGCATTACTTTTCAAGTGCCCCCATGTATAACAGTCTAATGGTTTAAGATACAGAGGGCATGGTGGTCAATATACAGGTTTGTTTGGACCAATCCATCATTCAAGATATGGCATGTTCAAATAGTCAGATAATGGATCAAAAACTGAGAGAAGTCTATTCGTCATTCTTACATCTCCTACTTATAGTTTCTGGTATCAACATTTCAGAACAGCTATGGAACTGTCAGAATCAAATGAACCCACAACAATAATGGAACCAGACAAAGAAAATACAGTACCAGAAGAAATATTTTTGGGTGCTGATGGAACTAGAGAAGTGACTGTAGGACAAACTGGAAAGAGGTTTAAGGTAAAATACAAATCATCTGCTCAAGTACCTGTTCTCCAGAGGAACTTACACAATAGTCACATGTTTCAGCTGATTAATAGGTACTGACTGGGAAATTTCATTACATGTTTAAACATTCAACTTTATAGATAATTACATTAAAGGATGAATTTAGAAACCTTAAAATGAAGAAACTGAATCAGTCTATATTTAAGACTTTCATCCAAAAAACCTGTACCTTACAAAGCTATACAGTGTTAAAATTAATAGTTAACTTTACATGCATTATCTTCCTAGATATTTCAATAATCATTCACTTACACAACAATTGTATGTTTTTGTGGAACCTAAAGTTCATTACTGTTCCAAGTAGTCCACCACTAGACATGTTGCTAAGCCATATCAGCTCTGTTCTCTCCTTCATAACTCATTCATATCTTATAATATTATCACATGTACAAATAATTCTTCAATATGTGATTTCCTTTGAAGTTTTCCATCCAAAATTTAGTATGTATTTGTTGTTTCTCCCTTGCATGTTACATATTTGGCACATCTCATCCTACTTGATTCTATAGTTAGGTGTACAGATTGCAAAAACTCAAAAGTACATAATCCTCTCCAGTCTTCGATTACTTCCTTTTTCTTGGGTCCAAATATGTACACTTCACATCATTTGTATTCAAACACCCTCAATTTATAGTCAAGATTATGGTTTTCTGACTTATAACAGCATGTTTTTGCAGCTACTTCTAAACATTTTGGAGAGAACTACTGCCTCTATTTTTACGGGATCAAAAATGTTAAACTTACTAATTTTTATTCTTTTCATTTCCCTGAAACTGCCATGGCTTGATATTCTAAGTTCAAAGAAAGCACTGCCAACTATATTTAATATCCACTATGAATTAGTCTTTACTGCCAACTATATTTAATATCCACTATGAATTAGCCTTTACTAAATACCAGATCCAGAATGTTGAAGGCTGTGGGATGATCCACTTGTATGTTCAATGGCTGTTAGAGGAACTTTACCAAGAGGGTAAATGCGAATGGAACTTGAAACAGGCTGCTCACCTTCACCTAGTGGCAAAGTTTGAGTATCCACGAAACATTACCTCTGTACCTCACATTTCAAAAGTAGGATTTCACCAGATTTTAGTTCTGTGTGTATACCATTAATAGGACAAGGTCGTGATTTCTTACAGTTGCTGAGCCCTGCAAATACATATGCAGCTAAAAAAACAGTAGCACAAGGCATGATGGATATTGCACTTATCACAGCCAATGCCAACCAGCTGCGTTATATATTAGAGTTTGGTGATCGTAACACAGTATTCTATATCACTACTATGCTCATAGTAACAAGCATACTGCTGCAGGTATAGCAAGTTTTTCTCTATCTTCTATATATTTCTTTAAATTAATATATTTATATGAATAAATAATGACAACATAATTTAACAGAACACTGCTCAGGCAAAGNTAATAAATTATATAATTCCTCTTCATCTGGAATGTTCTTCATATTTTCAAAGAATCTACCTTTGAAGGTGATACACCATTCAAATACAAGGGGTAGTCAAAAAGTTCCCGGAATGGTGGCATAGCACTCTAATGGTAGGACATATGGCAATTCTTACCTAATCACCTTCAAAGTAGGACCCTTGCGTGCACACACATTTGCTCCATCAATCCTACCATTGTTGGAAGCAGGGGTGTAAGGCTTCTTTTGGAATTTTCTGAAGCTCAGCCATCGCATTCAATTTGATTGTTGTGAAACGTGTCCCCTTGAGGCCCATTTTCAGAGTAGGGAACAGGCAAAAGTCACTCGGAGTGAGATCCGGAGAGTACGGTGGTTGAGTGATGACAGGAATGTTTTTCTTGGCGAGGAATTGCTGCACAACAAGCGATGTGTGGCTCGGTGCATTATTGTGATGCAGAAACCACTGTCCCTGCCACTTGTTGTGCCGTTTCCTGCGAACTGCATCGTGCAACCTCTGCAAAACTTGCATTTAGAAATGGCCAGTAACGGTACCAAATTCTTGCTCCAACTCCGCAATGGCCATTCTTCGATCACATCGAATCAGTTGTTGCACTTTTCTAATCATTTCTTCGGTTCTGAATGTCGAAGGTCTCCCGCTGCGCTGGTCATCCTCTATCGTCTCCTGCCCATTCTTAAACCGGGAAAACCAGTCGTAAACTGTGGATTTCTTTAGTGCAGTATCACCGTAAACTTGCTGCAGGGCTGATAGCATCTCTGAAGCAGATTTTTCCCAATTTTCACATGAACTTGATGTTCGCATGCCTTCAAACTGCGACTTTGCCCCAAATAACCAACACTCATGTCTAATTCAAACAGAACACTGCACACTGAAACCTGTCCAGACTTGTTGCACCTGCGAACAGACATGCTTAACTTCCCACCACAACACTGTGTGCACTATCTTGTTGCTCGTTCTCCGCCTGCAGGGGAATTCTGGGAACTTTTTGACTGCCCTACATACACCAAATCTACAGGGAAATAAATTTTGATTCAATGTGTTAAGAAACATATCTAATGCACAATCATGCAATCAGAAAAGCATAGCCACTGTCAAACCACCTGTCTGTTAACCATGCCCATTTCACCAAGCAACAGGAATAGTAGTTCTGACTGTATTCAAGAGAATCCCAGTTCAAACCTTGGCTGAAACACCAATTGCCCTGACCATTTTTTGTGGTGTTTCCCAGTTCCTCCAAGTAAATTTTGGTATAGTAACTGAACCTAGGCCATGACCACTTCCTACCACATTGTTTCCAATCCACCATTTCATATCATCCTACCATTTCATGCAACATAGTCTGAGATACTGAACTGAATAAAAGTAAATAAAAACTCTATCATTCCTATCCAGCAAAATTTTAAACTCAGATTTTACCACACTATTTCTTAAATGAGTACCTACTTTACACTGTTTCAAATTAAACAACTCTGGAACATTAACCAATGTGTTAAAAAGACACTATCCCCATATACTACATGAAGCAATTATGCATTATAAAAAATTTGCAAGATCTGAGGTTTCCATGGCAGGTTCCTGTAGTGATCTGGTCATAGTGCTATTTAAGAGTAGTATAGTATGTGAATAATGTATTAGAGAGATTTCTCCAGGATATTGGTACCCACCTACCAACTATGAGGGTCGTACTGAAAGTCATGAGCAACAATTTTTTGTCAAGTAACATGCTTTATTATCGACAAACCAAATACACCACATCAATCTACAGACTTTTCTTTATTTTTCCACATAATCGCCATTTCTTTGCACACATTTCTCCTAGCATTCTAGGAGTTTGAAAATTCCCCTTCTGTAAAATTCCACTAACACTAACGCACTGCTTTCTGAATTGCCTCCCCTGTCTCAAAACGTTGTCCATGCAGGTGATCCTTCACAAATCCGAAAAAATGGTAGTGATCCCAGACGTTTATCGCGCAATGTATGACGGAGCTTGTGCAGCATCTGGACATAACGAGCAGCATTGATGGTTTGCCCAGGTTTCAGGAATTCAGCCAGAATAAACCCCCCTGCATCCCAGAAGACTGTGCCCATCACCTTTTGCAGTTGATGGCACTGTCTTTGCCTTCTTTTTTGATGGAGAATGCAAATGGTGCCTTTCCATACTCTGCCATTTCATTTCAGGCTCGAAATGGTGAAACCAGCTTTTGTCACCTGTCACAATACAGAGCAAAAAGTCATCACCTTCGTGTCAATATCTCTGCAGCAGTTCTGAGGTGATGGCTTTTCACTGACCTTTGTGATCTTTGGTCAATAACCGCAGGACCCAAAGAGCACAAACTTTCCTACAGCCCAAGCTTTCAATCATCTCCTGTACTGCACTGTGCCCTACTCCAAGTTTTCAGGCTATTGTGTCCACAGTCACACCCCTGTCATCTTGAATGATCTCATCCACTCTTTCCTTGTTGCGTTCAGTTGAGTCTGTTCGAGGACGACCGCTCCGAGGCTCATCTTTGATGCTGGTGTTCCCATCTTTAAAATGTTTCACCCATCTTCGAACACTGCTCGCACCCATGCACACACTTCCATAAGCACGCTGAAGTCTCTGGTGAATTTCTGCAGCAGGGATTTCCTCTTTCACAAGTAATTCGACAACAGAATGCTGGCGAAATGACATATCATTGTCAGCCATTTTGTTAGGAGTGATACTGGTCGCATGATGCAAGCTATTGACGTCACAAGACACTCAAGGTTAACACAACAGCTGGTTCCACCTACCACCTACCACCTACTCTCTTTCGTCTGCTGTTCCCAGGTTGCATGCAAAAAAAGAGTTGCTCATAACCTTCGGTAGGACCTACGTATATACTTATGGCCTAGGTCATGATACTGTGACATGGTAGCTGAAAGCCAGAATAGTGGAGCAATGGCATGGTAAACACATGTCTGGTGTGATGAATCAACATACAACAATAGATGAACTGTTCTAAAAAGTGTTTTATGTGTGGTCTGCTCACGCCTATATAGCGAGGACCAACAGGAAAAGAAGAATCTGAGAAGGAGTTGGAGCTGTTCAAAAAGTTATTCTGAAAATGGTCCAAAGCACACTGAAGAAGAAGCATGCTTAATGCAGGCTAGTTTGGTTTCCATGCCCATAACAGCATGACACGTCAATGTATGAGTTCCATGTGACCTTAGGTTTCAAGCAATTCAAAGAAGAGTGGAGTTCTGAAATACATGAAATGGAATGGATATCATAACAAAAGAAATGGCAGCCTATTCAGCCATGAAATCCTACTTAGAGAAAAATAATCTCCACTATTTTACCTTCTCTCCAAATACCAAAAAGCCTATCGAGGCAGTAATCTGTCTTCTTCCCCCAGACAAGCCAGCAGAAGATGTTTCCAACAGTCTTGAGAAATTAAGCTTCAAAATAAGGCAAATGACAACCACTCAAACAGCACCCAACGGACAAACCCATGTGGACCTCTCCCTATCCCTTATTGCCTTTTAACCATATTTCCAGTGTCATCAAAGTAAAGTTATACAGAGCTCAGACTGGGCTTAAGCATTGCTGCAACTGCTAAAACATTAGTCATGTGTGGGTCAAATGCAAGCAGCCCCCTTGATGTTTGTGGAAAGGTGGTGGCCACCTGCATAAGGCATGCCCTGAAAAGACAAATACAGAATCTATACCAAGCTGCTTCGACTGCGCCCTAGTAGGAGGAAATCTCATCCTGAATCATATAGAGGCTGCAGCCATTCAAAAGGAGAACTGCAAAGAAGAAGAGCACAACAAACTCCCCAAGGATCCTCTGGGAAGACACTGTTCTCTAAGTTCACCTCACCACAGCAGTTCTACACAGCTGCACTGCATAAAGACATGCAACACCAGCAACCGCAGCACTGCCGATAAACAGGAAAAGCTATGACCTGCTGTTCAGCAGCATCTGCCATGACAGGAAATTCAGTACAGGCTCCCAGTTCATCTAACACTGACATGTTAAAAGTCACCACTGTATGTAAGAGATCATCATAGAACTCAGTAAAATAATGGCCATTATAAAAAAGGTATTAACATAATAAAACAAAATGACTGCTAGAGCTCACAGGCCGCTCAGAATTTAATGCAAATGGCATTTGGAAACAGCACTATGGGCTCAGTAAACAGCTGCAAGACTTACATATAGATGTGGCTCTGCTCTCAGAGACGCATCTCAAAATGCATGAGAGTCCTTTATTCAGAATTATCACTTTCATCAGACTGGTCATTTCCCAGGAAGAAAATGAGGAACTGCCCTTGCTGTAAGAAAAGGCATCCCTCACACTTGTGTCAGCTTACCTCAAAGTGAAAGTTACTTTGCGACTGGCGGTTAACCACCAATCAGTTCATTTTGGCTTCAAGCCCCTTCAGACTCACGACCAGAGATTTTCTGTTTCAATTGAACCCTTGCAGTAACAGTTCTTATGTAATATCCTCTCTGATGAGAACATGTATTTTTCTCTTGTGGATAGACTTGGCCTTTTGTAATCATTGACTTACCTCCTCTCCTATCAGTAGAAGCAATAGGGGTCTGATGCTGACTTGAAACAGTGAAATGTTCTGTGCAGCTGTTCATAAACTTCTGCAAAGACTGTGGAGTGACACAGGTATCAGCTGTAAGGTTTTATGAATAAGTCCATTCTGGCAGATGACCTGAATGTAAAGCACTCTATATTGAATAGTAAAGTTTCAAACCCCTCAGTCTTGAAAAACTTGGATTTATTTGTTAGTTATAACTTCGCAATTTTGGTTCCACAGTCCTCTACATGTCATACACCTGAAGGTAAAGGTGACGTTCTCCATATTGTAGTACATCAGAAAGTCCGACTGCCAGAGGTCA